GCAGGGTTTGCTATGCAGAGGAAACCTGCTCTCATAAAATCTTGGTAGCTAAGCAGGGTTGACCCTGGTTATTATCTGGATGGGAGACCACTGAGGAAGTCTAGAGACAGGCAATGGCAATCCACCTCTGCTCATCTTTTGCCTTGAAAACCCCTGGAGCTTGCGCTTGTTGTGGCTAGGATGGGAGACCATTGAGGAAGACTGGGGTTGCTGTGCAGAGGCAGACAATAGCAAATCACCTCTGTTCATCTCTTGCCTTGAAAACCCCCATGGTCCTGGGGTCACCATGAGTCAATTGCACCTCAACAGCACACAATTATTATTATTATTCCAAGCAGGGCTTACAACAGGGGTTCCCAACCTTTTTTGAGCCTGTTGGCACCTTTGGAATTCTAACACAAGTTGGTGGGTGCAACAACAAAATGGCCACCATAGGAGGTGGAACCCACCATAAAATGGCTGCCATGAAAGGCAAAGCCTCACACAAAGGCAGCCCAAGAGCAGGAGACGAAAGAAATAATAAAAAATATATATTCTGGGAATGACTAGTGAGAAACAGAATAAAACAATATTGTAGCGTTAGCTGCCAGCAAAATAATGGTATTTTAATGTGCACAGCCAGTCATATCTCAAATGTCCAATCAGAAACCTGCTGGCCCCACCCACTTTCTAAATACACTTGGTGGGCGCCTCCACGTTGGGGTGATTTGTTGATCAGGGAAACAACACCAAGGAGGAAGACGTAACCCCCCTCACCTGGCTCCACGGTCCTGATCTGTATCAACCCCCCCCCCCCCCCATATGACAAGCTAACATGCCAAATGTCCCAGTCCCCGCAGTCCAAGGTAACATGAAGTTCGGTCGCTTAAGCATTCTGAATGCCTTGTTGTTGGTCCCAGGGCATTTCCAACTAAAAGGAAGAAAAGACCACAGGAAGGTCATCTTGTCACTTTCCCTTGAAAGAAATCAAGACAAGAAAAGATTAAGTTGAACGTGCTTTCACACAAGAGGGAAGCTGAGGTCATGGAAGAATAACTGGAAAAAATATGAAAGGAATCTGAAACAAGACATTCCAAACCTAGCGGGGGGGGGGAATGAGAATCAGATGTTTTCTCCTCTCCTTGGAAGCAAAATTTAACTTCCTAAAATCAGATAAGCAGGCTTGCATCACACTTACGGACAATACACACATTACAAAATCATCATACCCCACCCCCCTTCTTAGTTATTATTATTACCATCAAGTCCCAGCCGACTGAGGGCAACTCAGTAGGGTTTTCATGGCAAGAGACAAAGAGAGGCGGGTTTGCCATTGCCTGCCTCTGTGCAGCAACCCTGGACTCCCTTGGTGGTTTCCCATCCAAGTACTGACCAGAACTGTCCCCGCCTAGCTTCCGAGATCTGATGAGATTGGGCTAGTCTGGGCCATCTAGATCAAGGGAATTCTATGATCCATACTCTGAACTTCAATCAGGTCTGGGGGGGACAACTTTGGGCTGGGATCACACTACTCAGGGGAGGAGGGTTTCAGTCTTTCCCTCTGCACCGTCTTCCTAACCTCAAACAGATGTGGGGAAGTGCTATCTGCTATCGGTTGATGCAGGATACTTAAGTTTCCCCAGCAAGTCAAATAGTGGCTCCCTTGGGGCAATTTGTGGTTGAGAAAACAGTACATGGTGAAGGTTTCAGTCCCCCCTTCCCAAATCCACATTGGGCCCACATGTGCCTGGGACTTAAGCTCTGAGCATGAACCTTCCAGAGAACATCGGATTCATGCAATCCTTGGGAAGGGCATCAGGACTTTTTAACATGTGACTTGATACTCGGAAGGAGCAACATAGCCACGTCAGAAAGGAGAGGGAAGAAGCTGATGCACAAAAGCGGCATGAGAACAACCCATCATGCAGGTGGGTCCTGCCTCAAATCTCATTTCAGCCAGAAAACACAACTGGCAGTGCGGTGTAGTGGTTAGAACATTGCTGAGGACTGCAGAGATGCAAATCTGTGCCCAGCCATGATGCTCACTACATAGCTAGTTGCCATCTCTCAACCTAATCTACTTCACTAAGCCAGTTTGGTGTAGTGGTTAACAGCAGCGGACTCTAATCTGGTGAACCGGGTTTGATTCCCCACTCCTCCACATGCAGCCAGCTGGGTGACCTTGGGCCAGTCACAGTTCTCTCAAGAGCTCTCAGAGCTCTCTCAGTTCCACCTACCTCACAGGGTCTCTGTTGTGGGGAGAAGAATGGAAGGAGACCGAAAGCCATTCTGAGACTCCCAGTGAAGGGCGAGGTATAAATACAACTCTTCTTCTTCTTGTGAAGAGGAAAACAACATGGTCATCACCAGCCTGAGCTCCTTAGGGGAAAGGCAGGATAAAAACAAATGCTGGAAGCTGCCTTATACTGAATCAGATCTTCAGTCCATCAAGGTCGGTATTGTCTGCTCAGACTGGCAGTGGCTCTCCTAAGGTCTCAGGCTGAGATCTTTCACATTACGTACTACCTAATCCTTTAACAGGAAATGCCAGGGATTCATCTTGGGACTGTCTGCATGCCAAGCGGAGGCCCTACCACTGAGCCACAGCCCCTCCCCCACTGGATTTTAAAACGTCCTCACTTATTTTCCCTGGTTTGTTTTCACAGCTTATTTTTTTAGTCCTGAGTCACCTTGAGGAGGTCCCTGCAAAGGTGGAATACAAATTTACTAAATAAATAAATGTTATGACCAGGTGCCCTCTGGCTACTTGAGACTGAAATTCATCTACTTTCCTGAAAGCTCCTAAAAGAACAGGCTGAACTTTGCACTGGTTTTGAAAAGGGAATGAGCTAAATCCCTCTTGTTGTTTCAGAACTGTCCTGTTTCGAATTGGCTGTGCTTCATCCTCTATGTGGTGATGGAAAGTGGCCATCAAATTACATCCAAGTTATGACAACCCTGTACGGTTTTCAAGGCAAGAGATGATGGTTTGCCACTGCCTGCCTCTGTGTAGCAACCCTGGGCTTCCTTGGAGGTCTCCCATCCAAATATTAACCAGGGCTGACCCTGCTTAGCTTCTGAGATTTTATGAGATTGGGCTAGCCTAGCCCATCCAGTTCAGGGCTCATACTCTGTAGATGTCCTCTATGGGCAAGGATTGCACAGGTGGTGAGAACGCCGAAGAACTGAACCCTGGTCTGAATTACCAGCATTCTCTCTTTAGTCTGAGGAAACAGCCTCCAGTGTTCAAGAAACAACAGGAGGCTCAGGAAGGAGAACTTGTATCTTGCCTGTTTGTGTGGTGCAAAAGGCAAGATGTGTCACAGAATGCACATTTCGCTATTCAAACATCTTCCACCCCCAATAAGAAAATTCTGCAACTTTAGGACTTCCCCATGTCCTAAAACGGTAATCAGAATGACTAGAAAAGAGCAATTTCAGAAGGGTAACCATCTGCAGAAGAAGAGTCCAGTAGCACCTTAGAGGTGAACAAGATGTCCAGGGAAAAAGCTTCATGAGTCATTGTTCTCTTCATCAGATACAAGTAGGAATGACGGTCCCCAAGTCTTTATATCCCAGTTGGAAGATGAGGGGGGTGTTGCAAAACGTAATCAGCTTGATTAGAGCAGGGGAGAAATGCTTGGCTTTTATGGTGAAGAAAGCTTTGACTTTTGAAAGCTGAAACCCTGGAAAACTTGTTCATCTTTTAAGGTGCTACTGGACCCATCTCCCTAGGTAAGAGCCAATTGTCTAAGGATTTAAGAAGACTTGCATGTCAAGGCAGGTCCATTGGGTCCAACATCCTGTTTCCAACTATGGCCAAGCTGATGCCTTCAGGTGGCCTACCAGCAAGTCACTAAGGCTAAAGCCTCTTGCCTGGTGTTGCCCCTAGCAACTAACATTCAGAGGTACACCAAAGATGGAGATTTCAGCCCCTTTCAAACAGCCTTTGCAATCCATTTTAGTAGCTGGTTGTTAACAGATTTTTTGTGTCATTTCAGGCACAACTGTTTTAGAAACTGGCTACGAACAGATTTTATTTATCTTTTCATACAAAGCCGCTTGTGTCTGGTTAGCAAAGCAGGGTTGAGCCATTTTTGAGGTAAACCTCTTTCTTCTGTTTTCAACTCTTCTTTGTGCTTCTGAATCAATGTAGTTTGCTGTTTAAAACGTCTGGAGTACTTTCAATAGTGCCGCTCTCCCCTCCCGCCCTTTTTTGCCCTGTGGTTTTTCTCTGACTCTTTTTGTAATCGTTCTAAGTTGAGCGTTATAGCGCTAGATCAAAATAGCACTTCAGTTTTGGTCTAGTGCTACAGCGCTCAATTTAGAACAATCCAAAACAAAGTCTGAGAAAGACCATGTGGCAAAAAGACCACGTGGAAAAAAGTGGCGCTGTTTGAAATGGCCAGAGCACTTCAGAGATGGCTAAATAACAGAATGAAATTCACCGTATGAAACCCCTGTCCCTGTACCGCTTTACTTGGAACTAGACCAACAACGGGAAACATTTGGTTTAGAAAGGTAATGTGAAAGGGGCCTTGGATGACCTATCCTGTATGATTTTGCCAACTTCCTTTTTAAAAGCCCTCCAAACCAACTGCCATTTCTACAACCTGGGGTAATCAGTTCCACAGTTAATTGTATGAAGTACTTCTTTAAAAAAAATCTACCACCCATTAATTTAATAGGCTGTCCCCAAGTTCTAGCATCACAAAACAGGGAGAGGAAAAAATCTTTAGCCACTTTTGGGCATACAGCAGGGGTCATTGGGGAAGTGGGGGGGGGGAGGTAAGTGTGAACTTCCTGCATTGTGCAGGGGAGTGAACTAGATGATCCTTGGAGTCAATTTTAGCTCTATGCTTCTGTGTTTCTCCAAATCACACATAATTTTATAAACCTTTATTGTGTCCCCCTTCTCACTTTTTTTTTCTGAACCCAAAATTTCCAAACTGTTTGCTGTTGAGTTTGGATTGAAAGAAAATCCTACACATTTGGTTAAGTGACTCAAAACCTTGGCAGCAGAGAGGCTATCATTTAATATCCCTATCTGGCTGTACATACCTCATGGTTCTCTAAAAGTCCTGGAATGGAAGACTCACCAATTTGCAGGACTTTACCTAGAAATGGCCAGCTTTCTCAGAACCCCAATTAACAGGTTGGCAAGAATACATGTACAAAAAACCCCACACACAATCAAACACAAAAGCCTCTTTTAAAAATCTTGCTCCTCAATGTGGAGGGGGAAAAGCCCACAAGCACTGACTGTAAAAGCTTAGAAATAAGAATCCATTTACAAAATATATATTCTCATGATTTTTCAAAAATCCACTCTTTGTAATTTAGGAAGCACTAGGTCCTTATTAAGATACTCTTTCCTCAGTCTCCAGGAATACTCGCCCACCCACAGTCCTATCAAATGTGTTGGTTGAAAGAGGCCACAGAGGGGACTTCACAGAGAATAAGCAGTTCCCAACCAACATTCCCTGCTCGAAAAGCTAGGATCTGTATTTCTGTTTCTTTATCACAGATTTTCACAGGCAGAGAAGGGATGAAAGGTTGAAGTGCGTTGTGGTAAGGCAAGAAGGAAACAGGCCCTTGAGGGGAAAAACTGATCGATCAAGTAGCATCTGATGCGTTTCTCCTTGGCTGGTCTATGTTTGGCATTGCAAGCTGGCTAAACAGTCATCCCTAAATTAATTCCAAAATATATGTATATTTGTACACACTCACACACACACACCCGCTCCTGGCAATACCTGACATGATCCAACAGAATAGCAGATAGGAGAAACCAGAAACATCCATGATCCCCTGCAGCAGAATCAGACCCTGGAACCTGCTTCCTTTACAACCTCCCGCAAATTCTGTCCGCTCTCACCCCCAGTGACATCCCTAGCTGCCTCCAAGAGCTGATCAGAGGACTCGCCTCTGCTTCCCAGTTTCGCACAGTTGGCCAAGCCAATCTGATCAAGCCTTGGCCAGCTTCTGTGCTTCCTTTCTTTGGCTGGGGCCACCAGCTGCACCCCTGGCTGGCCGAGATCCAAGGATCTGGAGTGACCTGACATAGGGATCTGAGTGTCTGAGCTGAATCCTCTCTTTGTGCATTCAGCATGCAGAAGTTTTTTGAACGAGGCAGCAGAGGGAGACCCACCATCCATATCAATCATGACCTGGCTGCCACGGAGGTAGTCTCTGCTGGAAGAGATGCTGCTGCTGTCCCCAGGCAAGACAGTCCATGAGAGCCTCAGCACTTCCTCTTTCTCCTCTGGCAACCGAACGCAACAGCCTTCCGAGTCCTGGACTGGAGAGACACCCTGGTTTTCAAGAAGACAGTTGTTGAGCTTAATAAGAGGCAGCGACAGGGCATTGACTGCAGAGGAGATGACCGACTCTCCTCCGTGAGGAAAGGACAGGCTGGGGTTCCGGCTGGGTCTCCCTCGCGCAGAGTTACCAGAGTCTGAGCGGATGCTAACCAGGGAAGCAGAAGGCGAGACATGGTGAAGAAACTGAGCCGTCGTCTGAAGTCTACTGGCTCTGTAAGCATTAGCCCATTTCTTCACAGGGCTGGGACATGACTGGAAGCGGCCTGAGGAGAGGTCCACTTCATAGCAGCCTTCCACACACTTTGGGTCAGCCTCAAAGGTGGACGGGGTAAGCCTCCGCTGGAAGTAACTGCTGACTTCGCTAGCATCCTGAGGGAGACCCAGGGTCATAGAATAGAGTTCCCTCTGCATCAACAGGCGCGTCTCCATATCCCTGTTCTCATACAGCATGGTGTTGGCACAGATGAAGATGAAAAGACCAATGCCCATAATCACAGGTCCAATCAGCTTTAGCTTCTCGCTGTACAGGAAGAGGCGGGGATGGGGAGAGACTTTCACTTCCTTCTTGAGATCGTCCGTGGTGCTGGAGTTGCCTGGCCTGCTTCCAGACCTCGTCCCATGTGGGCCACGGTGAGGCCAGTACCCAATCACAGCTATGGTCATGCCCACCAGGACCACTGAGACGCCCACCATCACAAAGGCCCCTGATGGGGAGCGCATTCGCAGCTGTCCTTTCACGGTCACCTCAGAGGGAACCTTGCACCTAAACCTGCGCCGGTGCCATCGGGAAGGTCTCCCTGGCTTCTTCCCTGTGGCGGTATCGTTCTTCATGTCTCTTGCCGCTTCACTGCTGTGTCATCCACGGGCCATCTTTTGACAGTCAGTGAAAGAAGAGAAAGAATTAGTAGAGAAAGGCAAGAAAAGGAGATGATTCAATTTATTTCTCTAGATCAGGGTCCCCAACCTTTTTGAGCCTGTGGGCACCTTTGGAATTCTGAGACAGTGTGGTGGACAGAGCTCCAAAATGGCTGCCACAGAAGGTGAAGTCAGCCACAAAATGGCTGTCACAGCACACAGTGAAGATCCTTGTGCTGTTGTGGCAGCTGCTTCCAAAGCAGTATTTTTAAAAATCTGCACAGCTAATCAAATCTCCAGTGGCCAATCAGAAGCTTGCTGGGCAAAAGTCCCACCTGCCCTCACCCACTTTCTAAAAACAAGTGCCAGGATAGATGTCAGTGAACACCATGGCACCCACCCCCGTACCACGTTGGGGACCTCTGATTTCAACAACTGGAACCCAAATCAGCTTGCACCATTGTTCCTCCCCCCCCTCCCTTCCCCGCATGCACCTGCAGAGGAAGAAGGTGGCCCCATTATACCCCACTTGAAATATCTACCAGCAAAATGGTTGCAGGCTTCCTAGCTCAATCCACCAACCTACATAAGAGTCCGGCTGAATCAGACCAAAGGGCCAACAAACCCAGCATCCTGTTTCCCACAGTGGTCAGCCTCTGGGCAGCCCACCAAACAGACAGCCATCCCCCAGACCACTGCAACAGGTATTCAGTAGCATGCAGCCTTAGAACATTATGCCGTTTGGGCTAATACTTGTTGACAGACGTGTTCTCCATTGTTTATCACCCCCTTATGAAAACAGAGTGGATGATCAGCTTTCTGTTGTGACTATAATTTGTACTGTAGTTGATACTCTCAAACACTAAGCAAAAAAAGTTATTCCTTCCCTCTCTCAGAAATGTTAAAAAAAATGCCCGGAATCAGATTGTAAACATTTTGCAAAAGCAACAATTTGCCATGTCTCTCCATTCCCTCCTCACATCTGTTGTTTTCTTTCATTATTATGTTCCTCTGACCAATGGTCTTCAGCAAAGTCAAAAATAAATACAGAATAAAATACAAAACAGTAAACATTGAAATACAACACGATGAATGAAAGCCCATCTCTGTAATGGCTTAAAGAAAACCACAAGTGCTAGAAGTCTGGCAACAGAACGTGTTATTTCCAGATTGGTGTCTGCCAGTAAAAAAGATCTTGTGGGATTTGACAGGCAGTGGATATTGACTCAGAACAGGTGTAATTCAGAGGTCTCTGAGTGGCCTCCATCAATCACAGAATAAGGTGAGGTGATCTATAATCTCACAAATACAGAGTTTTGATGGAAGCTCCCTGAGTTCTGCAGTTGGCAGGACATTCAGTCCGCCTAACATAAAGGCCACACTTATGACCAACAGAGTGTCCTGACCTGGATAGTCCAGGCTAGCCCTATTTCATTAGATCTCAGAAGCTAAGCAGGGTCGGCCCTGGTCAATATTTGGATGGGAAACCACCAGGGAATACCATGGGTTGCGACGCAGAGGCAGGCAATGGCAAACCACCTCTGTAGGTCTTTTGCCTGAAAACTCCAGAGGGGTTGAACTCATTTGTTAGGAGGGCTGGATCTGGCATAAATGTCACTTTGTCAGGCCGGGCCATGTGTGCCATAAAACATAATGCCAGGGACCAGAGGTATAAACTGTATAAAGGACAGCAGCTGGTAAGCTCCGAGTTGGTGAATCCTCACTGCAAGGCTCCATGGATTGGGAGGGTGTGTGTGCAAAGGAAAACCCATATGGGTGGACTGGAGAGCCAGTGGTGCAGCATTGTGCATATGCTTCGTGCCACTTGACTGGTGCAGACAAGGTTGTTCCGCCATGCTGAAGCCACAATGAGAGTGTCTATGTCCACTTCCCCCAAACAGTCTTCTGTTCCCTCCCTTGCACTAGTTGCTTGCGGGCTGCATAACAGCCCTGGATGGGCCGGTTCCAGCCCTAGGGCCCGATGTTTGACACCCCTGCCCTGCAGGGACACAATAACCCAGTTGTGACTTGAGGCTATTGTACATTGGTCCCATGAAAACAAGACTCATTGGAAAAGACAGTAATGCTAGGAAAAGGCAGCAGAAGACGAAGACCCAACATGAGATGGCTTGACTCAATAAAGGAAGACTTGGCCCTCAGTTTGCAAGACCTGAGAATGGCTACTAACAATAGGATGTTTTGGAGGACACTAAATTCACAGGGTCACTATAAGCTGGAAGCAACCTGACAGCACTCAACACACACAGTCTCTCAAGACAGGAAGAGCTCTCCACAGCCAGGAAACGTCTTTGCCTGCATTGTTAGGTATTTCCCCAAAGTTTAAGAAAGCTTTGGATATGATGGGGAAGAGAGAATTGCCCAAATGGGACTTGGGGAGGCTAATAGTGTATAAAATACACCTGATAAAAACAGTACAAAAGATACAATAAATAAACTTTAAGATATATAAAATGATTAAAAATCTATCCCCAATTAAGGGGAGTAGGATGTGTGGATGGTAAAGACATTGCTGAAGCATACTGGTGGATCACGATCACCCAAAGGCCGCCCAAAAAAGTGCAGCCTTGCATGCCCTGCAGAACCTGGGGAGGTCCCACAAGGCCCATACCTCTTCAAGCATCTGGTTCCACAGGACTGGGGCCACTACTGAGAAGGCCCTCACCCTTGTTGACACAAGGCGGACAGTTCGTGGACCAGGGACCTTCAATAAATGCTGAATGAAGATTGGAGAAGATAAGGAAGATCATGCCAGGAGAGGCAGTCCCATCTTTGCTGACCCTGACCTGTTTGCAGGAAGGGTGAGGGCTAAAAACCACATAAAATCTTTTGGATTTTATTGTAACAAGTTGCCCTTGCATTGTGCCTTGAGTCCTCGTGGTTGGTGGGAAAGGTGACTTCTCTGTGTATGCAGACACACACACACAAAGGATTTTAGTATGATCAGCCTGGAATTTTGTAGAAGGATGGCCACACGGGTGTTTAGGAACAAAAAGAAAAGCTTGCTACATTTAAAAAAATGTTTTGATTAAGCCAGCATGCTCCTAGCCCTCATGATTGTGGAGGTGTTGTTTTAATGGCACAACTCACCTCTGCCAAAGTCTTGGTTAATCAGGAGTGGAGAAACGATGCAGGAGATGCTAAGTGGCCTGCTTGCTGGAAAGGGAAGCATCGACTTCTCAGAGCAGGGGTGTGGATGTGCACATGCGCAACTGGATTGTTCTCAACTCTCAGAGCTGCATGCCGAGCCAACATTTTGAAACTCCTCCTCCCTCTCCATTTTCAATATTTTAAAAGGTATTATTAGTCTCCCAGGTGGTAAAATGAACTGTAAAAGCTCACTTATGAAAAGTGTGGGTCTGAGCCAGACGGCTAAGCTATGACAATTTCCAGGAGGGAGAATGAAGGGGGGAAAAAAGAGATGACATTTCAAAGAAGTCTGGGGAAAGCTCCGCTAATCTTTTTGTGAGGTACGTTTCAGTCTCAGTCGTGCCTGATGATGGAGCCACCCTCAGAGCAGGCCTTTGTCTCTTCCAGGTGCCACAGAGCAAAAAAAAAGCCAGGCATTTCAAGCTCTCCCCCCTTAGTGCATTCAAGCTTGTTTTTTCTCCCTCCCTTTCAGCCCGCAATCCATTTGTTTCCCCCCCCCCCCCCCACCTCTGCTGAGAAGAACTTGGCTTTCACTGCCTTCTGAGATGTGACCTCCCTTATCAACTGGTATTAAAGCAGTCCACTCTCCTGCTGGCTATGTAGGTGGCCCCAGCCCTGCAGGCATTTTTTGTGTGTGCGTGCAAAAACCTGGTTGGTGCCTCTGCAAAACTTTCAAAGGTTGCATGTGTGTGTGTGGGATAAGCACCGGAGAGACTGCTCTTAGGAAGCATGAGAATTTCACCCAGAAGGTGTAGAAGGTCCCAGGTTCAATCTCCGGCATCTCCAGTTAAAAAGGATCTGGCAGTAGAAGAAGAAATTAGATTTATACCCCGCCCTTCACTACCCAAAGGAGTCTCAGAGTGTCTTACAAACTCCTTTCCCTTCCCTTCCCCACAACAGACACCCTGTGAGGTGGGTGGGGCCAAGAGAGCTCTTGACAGAAACGGCTCTTTTTCAAGAATAACAGTAGCTGATGTGAAGGACCTCAGCCTGAGACCCAGGAGAGCCACTGCCAGTCTGAGTACACAATACTGACCTCGAGGGACTGAGGGTCTGATTCCATGTCAGGAAGCTTCATGGGTTCAGTGTATACTGATACAGTGGCCTCGTTTCTGATTATCACTCATTGTGGGACAATATTCTCTCTAGTTCATGTGACATCACTCATTCAGCCAGTGTGGTGCAGGGGTTTGAGAATCAGACTAGGATCTGGAAGATCTGGGTTCAGATCTCTAATCTGCCAAGGAAGCTTGCTGGGTGATCTTGGGCTTGACCTACCCCACAGGGTTGTGGTGAGGGTAAAATGGAGAAGAGTACAATTTAAGCTGCTCCAGGTCCCCGCTGGGGGGAAAGTTGAGGTATAAATGAAGTAAATAGCTTATTTATCTTTCACTGATCCTCTTGCAATGGCAGCTAGGCGCTTTAAGGGGCAGGGGGCAATTATTTGAGTCCCCTAAGAACCCCACTCTCTGAATTTTAAGGTAACTGGCATCTGGACGAATGTAATTTTCATTCATTCATTATTTATATCCCGCCTTTTGCCCCAATGGGAGCGGCTTACCTCATTCTCCTCTCCTCTATCTTCACCATAACCCTGTGAGGTAGGTTAGCCTGATAGTGTGTGACTGGCTCATGGTCATCCAGCAAGCTTCCATGGCACAAGTGAGGATTCGAACTGGGGTTTCCCAGAACCTAATCCGTCACTTTAGCCACTCTGCCAGTTGACTCTCTGTCACGTCAACTTCATTCATCATTTTCAACTAATCCACTGACAATAATCTAATAGGTCATAGCTCCTATGTACTACTATGGAAAAAGGAGTGATTTATTTACTTATACCCCGCCTT